AAATATGCACAACATCCAGAATATGCTTTTCAAATGACACATTTTCACATGAAACAAAAACTGCTAAGTATATTGAAATACTATTTGAAATACCTTTAAGCAAAATCAACACATAGCCACGTGGACTGGTACCTACCTACCTAGATATTATCAGTATAAATGGCCTTGTACCTACCTATACCTATCTAATGCAAGTTTGACAAATTTGACGCAATCCAGCTTGAAGCAAATAACCAACAAATAACGAACCACAAAGACACAAAAACATGCCAGCACTTAAAGAAAAAAGGTCTTGTGCAAGACAACCCCCCAAAACCATGCCACAAATGATTATAATCAATAATAGATAATTGCCCACGCGCTTGCCCAAACTGAAACGGACGCCTCGCACCTCGAGCCTTGAGAAATGGCGCGGAGGATGACTCGGCGAGGGAAATTAGAGGAAAGGGATTTCCTCTTTACTGGTTTTCAATTTGATAAAAATGATTCAAATTGATGAAAACTTCAAAATAGCATATCATATTTAAAAAGAATCTAAAATAAATGAATATTCGACCTCAATCTGGCTGCTTTATTTCAAATAATATACTTATAAGCAAAGGGATTTTATGCCCTAGACAAACATTACTTCATGTAAAAGTGATATCAGCATATGTCGGTATTATACCTGCAATCGGCATCAACTGGGCAATAATTTTATGCTATGAAAAGCGCCGTCTCTCAATGATTCTAACGGTACCCAATTTTTTATAAATACAAGTCGAGATTGCTTAAACGTTCCAAATTAAGTGAGTTGTTCCGTGACGAAACATGGTCACGGCGTTTCAATAAAACTATATGAAAACGTCCATAAAAATATAAAAATTTGACATAGGAACAATCAGAATTGAACAATCTATGATGCCATACCTAACTTGAACCGATTGCAAGCCTACTTCAACCTTTATTCTACCCTTACTTTTGTTCCGTGTCACGGAACAAGAATATGGTAAACTGAGAAATGCACTGCCATTGAAATGCCGTTATGAGGATATGGCAGCCTCACTGAACGGGCGAAAGCGACCGTCTTTTGGGAAATTCGACAAATAATGCGCATCACGGTCAGAAGTGATGTTTATTATATTTTTTTATATCAGTGTTTCCTGCATAAAAATCGTTTTCTGCCCAATAGTGGACGAGAAAGCAGGAAATCGGTAGTTACTGATTTGATGAAAGAATACGCAAAAGGAATGGCAGTGTATCCATAAACGTGGTGTGGATTGTGCATTGTGCAAAGACATTGTGGTGAGGCTGAGACTGAGGACTTGCCATTCAAGTCGTAGGTAGGTATTGGTATGGGTGGTTGTTCGTGATAATATGGATTTATCGTAAGAAGCATCTAACCTCATTCCGTGCACGTGACATGCAGGTGATCATGGTTGAATTGGATGGTAGGTATTGGTATCATCCTGTCACGGGCTGATTCTGATTCTCTTTCGTAAACATCTGATTCTCATTCGTAGACAAACCAGGTGAGAAATGTGATGGAATGGAAACATTTATTTATTTCACAAACACACTCAATAGCATACATTCAAGGCACGTATACTGGATTCATTCCTTCACGCTTGTTTTAAAACTTGCTGGATAGTTTGACATGGTTTGTCAATACTTCTATCTTGTAAGCACTTCAACTTTGGAAAGTAATTAATGACTGGCATTTTAACTGATCCAATTATGATGATTGCATGGTGAAATTGTGGAGCAACTGCTTCTTATCTGTTTCATTAGTACTTGCAGGATGCTTGCTTGCTGCTTTGGAGATCTGAAAACAGAACAAAGCACAATGTCAAATTTTCAATTAACATGTTTCTTTAGTAAGTTTCCCTTTCAGTCCTGTGATGCCCAGTTGCAGTTGATATTTAGTCAGTGACGGAACAAAAAAAGTGATTATTAGCAGTGAAAAATCTCACAGAACAAATCTTCCAAGTTCAAAAAAAATTGAGAAACCGGCCACTTTTCTGACACTGACCTAGTGACAAAATGAAATATCGTTGGAGGTATCAATGATAATGTTTCTGGTAGAAAATGCAGGCATTTTAGAATTCAGTTGAAGCTTTAGATGGAGGATAAAGGATTTTTGGAAAATATTTGCCACAAATAACATTGGAATCTCAGAAACACAAATCCAATCTTATTTGATGTCAAAAACAAATAAACTGTTACCAGTGAACACCAAGCAGCATGCTGACTGCTGAGTAGTCATTGACTAAGACATATGCATGTTACACATGGCTACAGTACTTTGAAATAGCTTTTATAAAATGTGTACACTCATGTAATCTAAACATGTAAATATTTCATCTTCAACTTGTTTTACACTAAAACCTGCTAAACCAAGAAAACAAGATAAATACCAGTATAACGCCTTTTGGGGCGATTAACGGAGCGAGCGAGGGGGTGAGTCTTGCACGTGCGAAATTTCGAGGGGGTACCTCCACTGACTTGTGCTGTGCACGGCACCCTACTGACCGGTTTCTAGCGATGTGCCAAATTTGAGCACAATCGGCCCAGTCGTTCTCGAGATCTAGGAGCGGCACCCTGCACGTGCGCACGTGCAAAATGGGTCCCAACTGACTTGTGCACGGCACCCTACTAACTGGTCCCTAACCGTGTACCAAATTTGACCGCCATCGGTCCAGCCATTCTCGAGATCTGGAAACAACCCATGCACGTGCGCACGTGCAGCAGCACCCCAACTCTGGCACATGGATATGCAGTGCCTAGTGGGTGCCTACCTACATGCCAATTTTCAGCGCAATCGGCCAAGTAGTTACCGAGATATTGCAACAATTACAAAAGTGACACCTCTTCGTTTTGCACGTGGCACGTGCATAAGGGGTCACCCACATGCATCGGGAATAGTCCAATACTTGGTAGAAGGAATGAAGCTACCCTACAAAAATTACCGCGTGTAAATCGGTCAAGTGGTTGCTGAGATATAAGCCTCGCAAAAGCGTCCGCACGGCCGGCCGGCCGGCCGGCCGCTCATACTCAGAAATTTCCGAAAGACAGAAATTAAGGAAAGACTACGCTTGCTTCGCTCGCTCCGTAATGGGAAGCACAAAACAAGTTATTGAGAACATAATCAAAGGTAACACTTAATCACGTTACAACAAAACTGAGTCATAACACTCAAAACTAAGTGTTTCAATGAACGCAAGATAAATGCGTGTCACAGAAGCAGCTGTCCACTGTAAGGCAGAGTGGGCACAGCATGGTGAAAGCAGGAAGTGGTGCACAAAACTGAATTAAGAAGAGTGCCCGACTAACTGTATCTGCATCCCTTTCCATGCACTATCAGCCAAAATTTAACTATGAAGGAGGCCATGCCCACTCGCACATGAGAGGTGTGCAAAAACATGCCGCTAATACCTTATGCCTATATACATAAAGATGAAAATGTGTTGTGTCTGTGTGGGGTTAGTGGCATGACGTGACACGACTGTTATCAATACCTGACAGTATGATTATCATGATATTATCATTATTTCAATTGTAATAAAAAATAATAAATTGAACTTTTCTTCTCACTTCATATAGCCAAAATACCTGAGCTTTTTTATATCAAGTTTGCGTACTCCAAAATCGTAACTATTCTGCTTCTTCCAGTGCCTAATAAGTTTGCGCAAGACTATTATCCATTAGATGTAGGGACGATCATGACCACTTGACAAAAAAAAGGTTCACTTGGTTCTTACAAGCCTGTTAACTCACTACACAAGGGGAGGGGGGCACTGCAAAAGGCGCGTGGAAATCGCCACATTTGTCTTAAGATATTTAATGCATAATAATAGGCACCAAAATATCGTCGTATTAGTATGCAAGGTCACCAAAGAAAAAGCCAACGTTATTTATCAAATATCAAAGCAAATTGGCAATATCTAGCGCAACGAAACACATAATTCAACACCTAACGAGGCCGGCCGAGTCCCCGATACCACCATGGCGACCGCTGAAGTCCAACTGGCCGGCAACTGGCCAATCAGGGGACTTGTTTGTCATTTCTGGGTGGGATTAAAAAACATGCTTTCCGCACACCCACACCGTTCATCTGATATCGACACGAAAATAAACTCTTTTGTAGGGTTGTGAACTGGAAACGACCTTTTGGTTTATGCGCTGAGTAGGTGCTGGGTATAAGTTAAATAAGACTATGTAGATGGCCATGTTGCGCGATAACTGTAGGTATAGATTCGAAAGATATGTTGGGGATTATTTCATTTAATTGTATAAGAGGGAGGTATGGTTTTTCGAGTAGCACTACAGATCCAAGAGTTTGGACATTTAGTTATTAAAAAAAAAAAACACGCCCGCCCGCCGACAAACGCAAATACCGCAAAAAAAACTCTGAAAACCCACGCACGAAACACGAACGCAAATGTCGCAAAAAACAACCCAAGCCCCCGACCGCTGCAAATCGCAAACAACGCCACAAAAATGAAAACCGCTCACATGGCACGCCCACGCGCCGCCAACCGCAAACGCCTCGAAAAATCGGCCGCCCGCTGACAAACGCAAAACGCGCAAAACGCACGCCCGAAACACCAACGCAAACATCGCAAAAAAAAACCAAGCGTCCGACCGCCGCAAACCGCAAACAACACCCCAAACGCCGCAAAAAGCGAAAACCGCCCGCATCGCACGTACGCCCGCCGTCAACCGCAAACGCCTTAAAAAACGGCCGCCCGCCGCCAAACGCTAACACCGGAAAAAAACGCGCAAATGCACGCCCAAAATACCAACGCAAACGTCGCAATATGAGCCGGTTAGTGAACGGCGACACAAAAACGTTCAACCGTCTTCTTTTTAAAAGCCCTTTTTGATGTCAGGCTGCCCCTCCCCCCCACCTCATGACCTGTTTACGTCGTTCAGAAGGCCTCTTCACAGTAGGGTTATGGCGGAACTTTGCTCCGTTGTGATTTTGCGCGTCACGCACACTGAGTGATTGGCGCCCACAGGACATACTTTAAAGACACTGTAAGGGGCGGCACCATCACTTTGAGGGGCGCCACGGATATTTGAGAGACGGCACCACTTAATGGACGGGCGCTACAGAAAGTAAGAGGGCAACAACATTAAACTTCGGACTTTGAATTCTGCCATAGATCAGGAGTTGCGTGATCATAGGGTTAAGGGCAGGGCCAACGCAATAAGTTCTTCTTAGCAGGGGCTCTGTCCTCGTCAGTCCTTCCATGAGAAAGGCTCGGACTAAATTTGTAAAAAAAAATGTCAAAAAAAGCCAATTGTAGTGGGATCGTCGGCTGACACCATGCAGTGTTCTAGCGTAATCGGTGTTGATAATTTTCAGATTTGTCTGCGTTTGGTGCCCTGGTGAACAGTGACGCTGCGTTTGTTGTCGGCGTTGGCGACACTAGCGGACGATGGCCGGGGCTGCGGATGACGAGGAGCACGCCTACCGGCAGCAGATGCGCCTCGTCGAGCAGTGGAGGGACAGAGCCGACACGCGTTTCCTGCGCTACGGCGCGCTGAGCCTGTCGGTGCTGACGGCCGCCTGCGGCCTGGCGGTGAGCGCCCACTACCGGTCGGCGCTGCGGCTGCGCTCGCACGGCCTGCTCACCTCGCTGGCGCCCGTCATGGCCATCCCGGCGGCCAGCGCCGGCGTCAGCCACCACGCCTTCATCGTGCGCGACCTGCTCCTCTTCGAGACGGCCTGTCCGGTGTGCCTGAACGTGCGCGCCGTCGGCATCCAGCTGGGCTTCTCGGTGTTGCTGCCAGTCGTCATGGGCACCATCTCCAACTTCCACCTGGCCGAGCAGAAGATGACGTACGCGCTGCCGCCGCTGGCGCACGACCGGCGCGCCTGGGCGGCCGCCTGGCGGCGCCTGTCGCGCCCGCTGGCCCGGCCGCTGGCGCTGCTCGCCGCGCTGAACGCCGCCTGCGCCGCGTTCGTCACCCACCGGGAGGCCACAGAGTTCTACTCGCTGCTGGAGAAACACGACCGCGAGCAGCGCTGGAAGCGGCTCAACGCCGATCGCGGCCGCCCGCCGGCACACCCGCAATGAGTTACATAGTTCTCTAGCTGCTTGTTTTGAATGATACTTATTGTTATGGGTAATATATGTATGTACTTCTGCGTGAACTTTTAGTTGTTTTGTGATCTATTAGAGGGACGAGAAACTATTTTGGATTTATCCCCGTATACGAGTTCCGACGGCTGAGCTGGTGGCTTTGTGACTGACTGAGTGCTGCAGAACAGACCTAGAGCTCGCTAGCAGTGACACCGGCCTTACCTGCGCCCGGCTCACCGATGCTGATTTAACCCGCGCCCCAGTGGCGGTCTCAGCCAACTTCGCCCTAGTGGGGGGGGGGGGGGGGGGCATATGTTACCATACCACCTCTAACTAAAAAACTAGGAGGGCTAGAAAGCCGCGGTAAAAAGCAGTCGATAGCCCTCAATGCGTACGTTTGAAAGTATTTCAGCCATTTTTCATCTTAGAGCAATATTGGGGTCACCAGAGGTCATCAAAGGTCAAAATTGGCCAATTGCCATTATATTTTTCAGAAAACATGCCGTTATCTCAGGAACTATGGTAACTAGAAAAACGCATGGAATAGCAGTCGATAGCTTTTGAACTCTTCTTTTGATAAGGCCATTATCAAAATTGACCTCAGGTCAACGGTTTAGCCTCCAGAGGGCAAAAACTCAAAAAATAGCTGTTTTTACGAAAAATGTTTTTCGACAATAACTTTCGACTGAAAAAAGCCACGACATTTCTATTGCCAGAATCGTGTTTCTCTCGCCGAGACGCATCGAATGAACAATAATTTGACCTTGAAAGGTCAACTTGAAAATTTGACCTCAGGTCAAAGTCATGACCTGACCGGAAAAGGTCATATTGCATATCAGTCGATGCGTCTCAACAAGACAAACACAATGAGACCATCCCCAGCGTTCTATCTCTTTCCAATCGCGAGTTATTGGCAAAAATCTGTTTGTAGCCTCAAATGACCTCGTCCTCGGATGACCTTTCTAGGGGCTATCAGCAAAAATGTCACCTTGGTCATCACGGGTGAACCAAATCATTGTGATTCTGAAATATTTGGACTGTTCCTATGCGTACACGGATCTAGAGGCATTTTCATTTTTCTCCATTGACTTGTAATGGAAAGGTCACGTCACTGACCTGACCTTAGGTCACGGATATAAAAAATCCGAGATATACAAATTGTAGGCGCCCATAACAGCATGCAATCCACCAAGTTTGAAACCTTTCTGACAAACACTGCAGGCTGGACATGATTGCAAACTTTTTTAGGCTTGGTCAGTTAACTTGACCTGGTGGCCTGACCTGACATGACCTAGGGTCAAAAATTTAACACATTGTCCAAAATTGATGTACCAAAAGCTACCCAAAGCGGCGCGGCGCGTAGCGCCGCGGTTTTTTTATTCACACGCAAAAAACGCGACAGGGTGGTAACATATGCCCCCCCCCCCTCCCACTGGGGCGAAGGTTAAATGCCAGGATAGCCGCGCCGGCCGCAGACACTATTTGGATGCTCTTCTGGGCTCTTGGCTACACACTAGTTGGGACAGGGGGGGGGGGGCACCTTGCAGCCGCCTGGCCATTGTGTTGGGTGTCATTTTCCCTCCCTGTAACCCGATGTTTGAATGTATTGAATAACGTTTGCCCAAAAGAGGCACGCTCAATTTTATCCCATTTATAATACCGAATGGACAGAGCGCAAAATTGATTGACTTGACCTTATGTCAGTTGTCACCAATATGTAAATTTAGAGATACGCATTTATTCTTATCAATCGCTAAAAGTTTCAAGCCAATCGTTCAGTCGGTGTAGCTATGGAGATTAGTGATGTCAATTATAGAAATACGGTATACCGTTACCAAACCAAATATCAACAACGTTGGCTCCACCTACCATCGCTTGTACACCAGAGTAGCTCAGCACTTAGCTAAGTCACATTGTACCGGTCAACTACTGTCATCTCCCTCAGCATCGTTCATAAGAGAGCATGCTTTGTCATGTCAATCATCACTAGGGATAGACGACTTCCAAATTTTGAGGAGAAGCAGTTGGAGTCTAGGGGAAGGTGAGGCCAGGTGTGTGACGGCACGTGATCGCCTGAGGCGGTGGGGGGGTAAAAACATTTTCGTCATTTAATGCTCAATGCAATCGCTGCGACTTTTTACAAGACCTTCTCCTCGTCGTTGTTTCTTGCTTTCAACGACTGGTCCCCGAGTGATGACTATCCTCACGCAAGATAGGATGAATGGAACTAGCAATTAAGCCCAAAAAAGATATCGAAAATGTTACCTAACACTTCTTTTTAAGGGGATGAATTGAATGGTTTTGGAACCTCACGAAATATGTTTCAGATATGACGCGTAACACAAACTGACGCATAAAGACTGTGTTCAAAAAAGTGACCGCAAGCACCTGTTGAACAATCTATATATCTCGAGAACCGCTGCGCCGATCGTCACCAAACTTTCAGTACCCTCCCGGGAGTAGCTAGCGCACATGGTGACCAAAATTTTTTCGAAAGGCTATGATAGGTTGGCCGCTAATGACGTCAGAGTGACGTCATTTCTGCCATTTTCGACCCAAAAAAAAGGTTTCGCGGGAAGAGCTGTCAGGCCTACAGCTTTAGTGATAGGTACAGAAAAATGTTTCAGACATAAAAGGTGTGGAATCAAGAGGGTTACAAAACTGCTATTTTGGTTTTTCGATTTTTTGGATTTTGACCCCCAAAAATAAAAAATAGATTTTTTGAATATAATACCCGAAAAATCCAAAAAGGTTTTTGAATTTCGAAAAAAACGGAATATTTGTGATAGTCCCTACCGCCTTCTATCTACATACCAAATTTGAGATCGATACCTCTTTTCTTGGCCAAGTTATAGCGAAAAAACTGTTCAAAATTAAAGACGTCAAATTTTCAAACTCAATTTTTAGCAATTCTAGACCTCGTAGCGCAAATCAAAGACCACTATTAGACTTCCCGTGACAAGCTGCATCGAATCGATATCCATTTTATGCAAAATATCAACTTTGAAATTTGACCTTTTTTGACCTGACCTTGACCTGACCTTTTTTTATAAATTTAGTCCGAACCTTTTGCTAGGAAGGATTCACAAGGACAGAGCCACCGCTAAGCGAAGCTTGTTGCGGTGACCCTGCCCTCTACCCTCCGATCGCGCAATTCCAGTTCTATGGCAGAATTTAGAGTCCAAAGTTTAACGTGCGCACATAGCCGCGCACGGCCGGTCCCCTCACTGACTTCGCCTGGCTACGGCCTGCCACCAACCGCAACCATACCTGTCAGGAGGCCCATAAATGTCAGGCGCCCGTCGCGCTTCGAACCCGGACTGTTGTAACCGGGAACGCGTGCTCTCACCACGCGGAGTCCAACGCTCTGCCAACTGAGCTACGGGACCTCCACCAGAAAGTGACCTAAACCGTACCTGATGGTCTTATTACCAACAGCATTGAGTTGGAAATGAAAAACGCCATAAAACACGTATCGCACAACCTTAGTAAAGTTGGGTTCATGTGGTGACCCTTGGTGACCTTTGGTGACCTGACCTGTGACCTGACCTGGTATGACCAGTGACCTCTTATAGCAACATATGTACTAGACAACTGACGCCCTGTCGCTGATTTTCGACAAAATGCGTTTTACTCGGTGTTATAGCGCTTTCCCTAAAAGCCCCGTGAACGATGAAACATTTTATCTTTGACCTGACCTGTGACGTAATCGGTGACCCCGAGGTCAATGAAATTTGGTTTCCTTCGACAAATTTGACAGGGCTATCGAACGCCGTTTGAATTTTCCGGATCCGTCCAGTAGTTTCGGAGATACGGGGGGGGGGCAAAAAATGTCCCCCCCCCCACCGCGTGGAAGGTGGCCGGGAGGCCCACCGCCTGCCGGGTTAAAGAGGTCCAAATATAAAATCATGCTTACATAATGACAGCCATTATCCAGACAAGCGAGGCTATTAACGCGGCGTTTCCATGCTTACAAGTTACACCTGTAGTGGCGCGATGTTGTCAGGCGATCGCGTGGGGTAACTCCGCCCGGTGGTATTGCCCCATGTGCATTATTATATTATTACATACATATACATATACATAGGTATATATGATAATAGTATTATTATTAATAGTATATTAGTATTATCATATATACATATAGCCTTGTACTTGTACACCTTTTTACGATCCGAATCGGCATCTGGTCAATTAACCCGCGTCCCGTAGGGGGGCCAAAACGGCCCCCCTGTCCTTTTCCTTCGATATCTCCTAAACGGCTGGAGATATCGCCACCAAAGTTTCAGGACCCCTCCGGGCATCAATTTTACACATTGTGACTAAAACAATTTCCAGAGGCTATGATAGGTTGGCCACAAATGACGTCAGAATGACGTCATGTTCTGTCATTTTCGACCCAAAAAAGACCTTCGCGAGAAGATCTGTCAGGCCTACAGCTTTGAAGATACAGAAAAATGATCAAGACATAAAAGGTGTAGAATTGAAAGTGCTACAAAACTGCTACCTCGGATTATTTTCAATTTTTGAGTTTTGACCCCCAAAAATAAAAAAAGCACTTTTGGATATATTAGCCAAAAAATCCAAAAGGTTTTTTGAGTTTCGAAAAAAACGGAATATATGTGATAGTACCTACCGTCTTCTATCTACATACCAAATTTCAGATCGATGCCTCTATTTTTGGCCAAGTTATAGCGAAAAAATTGTTCAAAAACGATGACGTCAAATTTTCAAACTCAATTTTTGGCAATTCTAAACCTCGAAGGGCAAAACAAAGACCACCGTTAGACTCCCCGTGACGAGCTACACCGAATCGATACCCGTTTTATGCAAAAATATCAACTTTGAAATTTGACCTAATTTGACCTGACCTTGACCTGAGCTTCACCAAAATGTGACCTAGGCTGGCCCCATAGACCGCCTAACCCACATAATCGCATTTGTCATGTAAAATGGACCATAAAACATGTATCACACGACACTTTCATATAGTGACTCCCGGTGACCTGACCTCGCTGTGACCTGACCTGGTATCAGTGACCTCAGATAGCATAGTATGTGTTTGATGATA